GCTTATGTCAATCTGCAGACCGAACAATCAAAATACATTCCCCAATTATAGAAAATGCCTAGAGAAGAAGGATTGTCACAAAAGAAAGGTCCAAGTCCACAAAGAGGTATTCTGTCTTGATTAACTATCGAGCCTAATGTTTACAGAAACCCGGGAAAAAACAATAACCAAAACGAAAAAGAAAGAATGGAAATGAAGGCCTAGAACTCAACACTGTTAAAACCGGCTTATTTCCAACAAAAGAAACTCTCAGATTCGAGATTGGAATATCTTTGAATTCAAGAACGGAAGCAAGGGTACAATTGCAGATATTCCAGGACAATGTAGTCGATATATGATGCTCATTCGTGAATCGTGCATACTTCATTGAAACATATCTACACGGAAAAACCAAGGAAGTATGAAAGCTATCACGAGACATGCCATTAAGAAGTTACATAACGGCTGTCCAGTCATACACCTTCTGCTGCCATCTGAAAAGTTAGTAGAAGCATCCAAAGATCGCCTCTCATTCCACTCTTCCATAAATCTGTTGTCACTAACACCTGTGATATTTGTTGCAGTCTCACCACAAATTTCACACAATCTGCTAGAGTGAAATAAAGCAAATCATATATTGCACAAAAAGGAGGAAACAAAAAAGTACACAAATTCAAAGCAAGCATAGAAATAACAGTATAGTAGATTTCTTCCCAAATTGATAATTTCAGATTCAATTCCAATCTATTTCTTCATGACTAATAGTCAATTCCAATCTATAGATAGTAATAATGCAAAACAGCAGTTATACAAATATAAAAGGGATCAACATGTCTGTTGCAAAAGTACAATTCCTCTGCAATTTACATAAAAACTTCCATTAAATCAGCAATGGAACCTAAAAGGCTAAAACAATTAATTTACATTTGATTCACCATTAATTGCATGAATATAGATAGCACAAGCAACTGAAGCACCAGAGGCATAATAAATGTGCAGTATAGTTAAGCATGAACTTGATTTCAGATTTTAGTTAAACTGAGTGCATATAGGACTTTTTAATTTAATAGTATATACTAGTATACTACTATTGAGAAATTTTACACTTTCTAGGAGAACTAAAAGGAGATTTCAACTCTCGTGGAATTGGAAATTTGGAAAAACACAATTTGAAGTATTGAACCCTTGATTTCCCTCTTTAAAGTTTCAATGTACTTCGCTACTTTGTCAACTCCAGAATGTAAATGTTCTAAATTATGCTTAGGAAACAGAAATAAATAGAGATAGATCAATCTACTTGATAATGGACTGATATAGCAACTTTATGTCTACTCTTGCTGATTCTTCAACCTGAAGTATAGCTCTATACTAACCATAATATCATCAAAATACCATTAACACAACAAGAAGAAGAAACTAGGCGTTATCCTCAATAAAAATAGACATAGTGGAGAAGTCAATAGAAAAAAATTACTACTGGAAATCTATATTTTGAGATAACCAAAGCTGTAAATATAAAACAATATGATTGTTCTCCAAAATAATGTTTTCCATATGTAACTCAATTCAGATGAATTCACTATCGCAAGACCAACCTCTTGCAGTTGCATTGAGTCATTGATAGAATAAGCTAAACTTTACATGTTATTAACATATAGATACATTATTAGGAGAGAATTTATCAAGAGGTATAGGAATAACAAAGTTTCTTTTATTTGGGTTTATAGTTTGCTTTTCATATTAGCTCAGTCGCTTGCTGTTAATAGCTTCAAAATCAAATTAAAATAACTGCTATAATAAATGTCATCATACATTTTCTCCAACTCAAGACTCGAATATTCATTTCAGACGAAAACCCTTCTTTTCATCTAATTGAAGTAACTATTGTCATCAATTTCTCACCTTCGTTAAAAAGGTCAAAACTTTATGCAATAAAAAAAAAATCTCAAAATTTCCATAGACAAGATTTACTTTACTTTTCCTCTAACTCACAAACAAGTTATAAATTATCATTCTTGCAGAAAACATACATATCCTGCCCTTTGAACAGACACCAAAATAACTATAGTGTGTTAGCCCCTGTTTCACCGGGCTATTTTTTCTAGTTCCTCTTATTCAAAATTTTCTCGTCTCATCTCATATGAATAGATCTAGGAATAACGATGGATCTAGCAAATAATGCACATATGGAAGCATTTAAATAAAAATTATTACCTATGTCCTTTGACCCTAAACCAGGCCTCTGCGCATTCTGAATGTGCAATCCCAAGCTCACCTTTACACCCACAACCAATCTCCATCAAAGCTATAGATTCTTTTCCACTTTCCTTCGCACTCAAATGGCATATTCTGCAGACCCTTTCGCCCTCTCCTACAGAACTCCCATTTGCACCAGAATCAGAACTCTTGACATCAATCACACATGACGGACAGTTGTCTTCCTCCTTCACTTTTGCTGGTTCATCCACTATCATTGCTTCATTTGGCGTTGACCCATCTGACTTGTCATTTAAATCTGCAGTTTCAGTCAGTTCAATTGTGATATGAGTCTCAGAATCTGCTGTATTGCGTGAATGATCACCCGCACTAATTTGTTTCATTTTTTGATTAATTTCTCTCGTCGAATCACTCGATTCTTGATCCATCAATTTTAAAACACCTATGCGCAATCAATGGCTGAACAAAAACACTCAATGAATCTACAACAATCCACAACTACAGCACATACTCCCAACCGGGACTATGTGAAGAACAATCAATAAAAAACAGCTAAAGGGTGTATTGTATATCGAAGAGTATAATGGATAGGGTTAACAATACAGGAATCCGCCAATTGGAAGGTGCTACGTGGGAAGTAGTTGCCCAGTTGGTAAGGTTCCATTAGTATTGGCGATGAAAAAGGGGTTTATATTTGTAGGGTGGATCTGATCTGTGGTTTGAGTATTTTGTGCCCTCAAAAATCTGAAATCGGATTAAGTTGACTTGGATGTCGAAGAGAAAGAGTCCTCCTTCGCGGATAATTAAAGAACTATGATTGAGTTATTTATAAATTAGGGAGTGGCTCTCTGTCATTGGTAAACGACAACTGGCTTGTTTCACGGTGAAACTATCAATTGCCGCCACGCCACGCGGCGGACGGCAAAATTCAGAATTATTCTAGACGGAGGCCCGTGGCCCTGTCCGCCTAACACGGTGACCAATAGCATGTTTTTACGACTAAATTATTCCAAATTGCATTTTTCTTCCCAATTCATTGTCTTTATTATTATTATTATTTTTTTGGCCTCTATCCTCTCAAAACTTTTAGCCATTTTTTGACACTCCTTTAACATTTTAATACATTTTTATCTCTTTTTTAATCACATATTTTTCAATAAATCTATATTATACGTAAATTAAAAAAAAATTCTTCTATTTTAACCACACATTTTCCCAAAAAATACTATTTTATAATACATTTTGCCAAAATTTCTCTCTATAATAGGGCCCCGTTTGGGAGTGATTTTCACCCCCAAAAAATTGATTTTTTGATCGTTATTTCACTATTTTAATTTCAACTGTAATTTTTGATTTCTTCTCTCGCAGCTGGCTCCCACTTTTTTCCTAACAGTCAAAAAATAAAATTTCAAAATCACCACCAAACAAACCCTAGAACTCAAACAAAGGCTTAATATTATTCTGTTCTTATTATAGGAATATATTTTTCAATATTAAAAACATCTTCAAAGCCACTGAGAGAGTCATATTAATTAAATTTAATTAATACCAAAAACTCTCCCTTATTTTAAATTCAGATATCTCTTTTTTTTTTCGACAACCCTAGTTGACGCGAGATGGAAACATGAACAATAATAAAAGGATCTTGTTTATAATACACGAATGAATGTTGATTAAATTTTGCTCAAACGGACGTGAAAATTATTGGAATCTACTAAATAACGAAAAAAATTTGAATTATTATTAATCAAAATGAATGTAATATTTTCAAAACCTTAACACATATTTAAATATTCAAAACAAATTCTTTTAAAAATGAAATTCTAAACCTGTGGATAAATTCAAATAAAAATAAAAAAATTGCAAAAATAAAGATAATACCCCTAAACTATATCAAACTTCTAAAATGCTAAAACGAACCCTAAATGAAAAAAATTTGGTCTCAAAAGTTTGACAATGTTGGCCAAAGGACATTGTCATCCTATTCTCAAATTGTACTTGTTTGTGTATTCTAATAATCGAGCAGAAAGTTATGCATATTTCCATATATCTTTATTATTCTTTTTCCTTTCTAATTGATTTATAATTTTCTCTTCCGATTGATTCGCATCACTAGTCAAGCCCCCCTCTCCCCTCTTCCACAGCGATAATCGAGAAATTTTAGAAAATAAGAAGAAGAAGTTATTTTATACAAACTCAACAATAACCTTACAATATTCTTTTACTTTCGACTCTCTTCTTTTCTCTTTTATTGTGCCTTTGTGTTCCTTCATTACCAGATCAACTTCCCTTTGGAAAGAAACATGTAATTCATGTAAATACTTGATTTTTTCCCCTTGTTTTGATATTGCAAATTTTGTAGTATCATCAAATAAACCTATAATATTTACAAAATTGAACATTCATAGACTTTCACTGTTTTTTGTGGGTCAACAAACATGTTTGCATGCCCACTAGCAACGTGGGTCACATGACACTTCTTAGTTGTGTACCATGAATATAACGCATTTAACAATTCCGTGCCCAACTTGGCCATAGGACACTTGATTAAGGTTGTACGCGTATCTTTCCTTCAATTTTCAAAAAAAATTCAATGACTGATTAAATCGGACCTTCAAATAGTCTGCCCTGACCATGTACTGCCTAAAGACCAATGTCAATTTCACAATAATTTTTGGTTATTTAGAGCCTGTTTGGTTTAGATTTTAAGCCAATTATAATTAATTTTTTGATCGTTATTTTACTATTCTAGCAGTCAGTTTTGAATTCCCCTCTCACAGGTGGATCCACTTTATCTCTAATGGTCAAAAAATCAATTATCATAATCCCTACCAACAAACACTTAAGCTTAACGCTGTAGCTAGGCTTGGTTAAAGAAAAATCCGTGTTTTGTTTGAATCGCCTGCTCGGATGCTTTGCTTAGGATGCAATTTGCATTACACGTTAAGCCAGAAGTTTTTCCTTATTTTTTAACCACATATTTTCTATCAAAATACTATTTCAAAATGTATTTTGAGCAAAAAATGGAGCTCAAATAGGCTCTTAAGTAACGTGCCTAATCAATTTTTCTAGAGTAATGTTATGTAGTTCAATTAGCAATTTATCAATAGTCTATGTAGACACGGTAGATTTAATTGAGTATGATCTCATAAAATTACATTTTATTGAACTTATGATTTATGTTACATACAAAGATTAGTGTAATTGTTTGGTAATCTTTTTTTTTTTTTTTTTTTTTGGGTGGAGACTCTAAGGAGAACAGTATTCTTAAGTGAACAAGGAGGGAAAGGGTGATGGTGACGTGAATTTGGATGGTGTGGAGTCGGCAGAGAACATATTCTGATTTGAGCTTCTGAGAAATTTCTATCTTCTCAATGTGGACTTGAGTCACAATTATTATAATTTGTGTTACTTTTACTTTTTTATGACGTGAGGAATAATTATGAATTAATGTCATAAAGTTACATGTTATTTTGCTGATAGACGGGTTATTTTTCATTCAAAAATCAGATTATTTTTATATGGTAAGGTTACATGCATTATTTTTCTCATGCTATTAGGCATAAAGTGACACACAGAGGCCAATGTTTAGTTATTAAAAAATTACATATACAGTGAAAATAAAATAATAAAATTGACGTAGCAAAAGCTTATATTAAAGAACGAAATATCATGAAAAAATCAAATTTGTCGATTTGTTCACGAGTGTCAAGAAGAGAGAATAATATTGATAAACTTTATAAGATTCTTTATTATGATCAAAATTATCTAAGACCGTTAAAACTTACAATTCATATTTAAATCATAATTAAAATTTGGATAATGACCAAACTTCTAGATTATGAAGAGAATGAAAGATAATGACCAGCTCTAAACAGGATTAAAATTTTAATGTAATTAAAATTAACAAAATTTATCCAAAAAATGAAAAATGTGTTTTTGGAGCTCTAAACAATAGAATTTGATTGAAAATAGACACAAAATTCTTCGGAAATGGACACTCCGAAAATTACTTCATTTGACACCAATCCCACTTTTCTATGAAATCTTCTTCTTATTCTATAGCACGGTAACATTATGAATAGGGGTGGGCGTGGGCTGGGTTGGGTTGGGTCGGTTTTCGCCTCAAGCCTAATCCAACCCAACATGATCGATTTGGTCGAAATTTAACCCAACCCAACCCGTGTAAAGTTTGAAACCCAACCCAACCCAACCCAATCAAGTATCGGTCGGGTTGGGTTGGGTTGGTCGGTTTAGGACAACTTATTAATAAAGATTATAGTTATTCATTTTTGGGTGTAAAGCATCATTAATATAGTCCCAGAGCCTCAAAATTTACAAAACTAATTACCACAGCATAGATAAAATTCAACTGAGACACTAAAGAGCAGAAATCACAACCAATTTTGAAGTTGGTTTCTCACAAAATTCTCTAATAGTGGGACGGGATTGGAACTTATAAGGTAAAAAAATTTCATCAATACAACATGCTCCAAATCATTAAATAGTGTCAGCAAAGAAGAAATAGCAGAGATGTAGTCAAAGAAGAGATCACTTGAGAGATGAGTCTGTTCAGATTAGTATATGTTGGCCTCTCAATGTCAAGTGACTTGCGGCAAATATCATAGATCGCTTCATTGTCAAGAAGCATGGCAACATCAGTGTGCTCCAATAAAGAGTGGGTCGAGAGAACAGAGTTGTATGGCTCAACCACAGCAGTCGAAACATGCAAGGATGGGTAAATAGTGAACCCCACCTTTGATTTCTTACCATTCAACAGAAAGCCTCTCAAGCAAAAAAGATTCAAGTCCAGATCCAATGCCCCCACCGACAGCATAGAACACCATGAACCCTTACAATCCAGTACAATTATTCGCAAGCTTTCGGAGCTTGAGTGAGAGCGAAAGCGAGAGGGAGGGGGAGGGAGAGGGAATAGAGAGATTTTAGGGCTTCTTTTGGATTTGGGAGTGATCGAGTGTTTAGCCATTTACGCTTTTTTTTTTTTTTTTAAGTTGGGGTTGGGTTGGGCGGGTTGGGTTGGGTTGGTTTTTATAGGTTAACCCACAACCCAACCCAACCCACCTACGTAGCCAAAAAATCGAACCCACTTAAAAACAACAAAAAAACCGACCCAACCCGGTCGGGTTGGGTCGGGTTGGGCGATTTGGACGGGTTGGGTCGGTTTTTGCCCACCCCTAATTATGAATACAAAGTGACTATAATAAGATCAATACAAATTGTAAGTTATAATTTTAAAATTTACATACTTTAACATTAGATAAATTAAAGCCCTTGCTCGGTGAATCAAAATCATAGTTTTAGTAAATTTTGATGAAAATTGATGAAAGTGAAAGGCATGACTAAAAAGTTGTGAATTTCATAAAATATGTTATTAAAATTAATTATTAACTTTGATTTAAATTAAAATCAAGATTTTAATTCCCATCAAAGGGCTTACCATCATTTTATTTTAATATAATATCTATTATAAAATAATGAGATAATTGTTGATAATTATTTAATATTATCATGATACATAGTTAAGTCTTGTCTAATTTAGAAGATCTATTTTATTCCAATTATAACTTTTATTTTGGGCTCTACGAATATAGGGGGTTGGTTGTTAATGATACATACTTGAGTTTTGACTCTTATATTCTTTTTTCTAATTATAGCACGTTATCAGCACGATGATCTCATTACATGAAGTTTGCCTCTATTGAATGAATTTTTTCTCTAATTTTTGATCAAATCTCTTTTTTTCTCTCTAATAGATATACACGCATCTTGAAAATTATGAAAAATGGGGGCATTAAAAGTGGATGATTTGACTGCCACGTGCATATATTGTAGTCAGGTTTTGTGGCTAGAATTTTGCTCGCAAGCTATCCAATTTACAGAGGGATTTTTCAAAAAATAAAAGAGAAGTACTTGGAGCATGGGATGTTGAAAATATATCGCTTTTATTTGTCGCGAAATCTTCTAGCTAGGTTTAATGCAATAAGCAAATAAAAAATTGACAATCATGCAACAGGTAATTGACTTTATAATTTTTGTTCCATAATAAAAAATAAATAAAAATAAAAATATGCTGATTATTGTTTCATAAAAAATTGAACGTGATGTATTTAATTGTTTGTTTCTTGTTTATCGTTCGATTAATTATCACATTCATTTTTTTAAGTACATTTTATAGTTTATAAATTTAGTAATTTGATGTCTCTCTATTACAAATAATTTGTTGGTGCTCTTGAAGTAATACGACACTATTAATATTCTAAAAGAATATAATTGTTTTTGAAGAAGCAAAACTCTGCAAATATTTACATTTTACTAGAAAAAATTCTCCTAAAGAGTTTGTGCTTTTAAATAATAATTCTTTGTTGTTCATTAAGTAGCACAATATTATTAATATTCCGGGAGAATAGCATTTGCTCCTGAATAACATGAATTATAATTTTCAATATTCTAAATAAATATTGACATATTGTTCATGAAAAGTATGAATTACAATTTTTAAAAGACTATTATTACTCTTGAAGTAGCATACTATTATTTATAGATATTTTAGTTAGATTTTACTTGCTCTCGAAGAGCATAATTAAATACAATCTAACATAAATTATGTTTTTACTCCTGAAGAGTAAATTCTTATATAATTTATTATTTCAAATAATAATATGTTAACTGAAGAGCACAACACTACGATTCCAATATTTCAGGAGAATATTGATATTACTCTTAAAGAAGGGATAAAAAATACAACGTGCTCTTGAAATAGAACTTCTTTTGAAAAATATATCATGTTTAATTTATGAATTTGTATTATTCTTGAAGAAAAATACATGACTTATATCATGTGGACATTGATCATTATATGATTATATAATGTTTAATAATATTTTTTGAAATCAAATAACTGAATTATATCTTATACAGAACTAGGAGTTCAATTTGGTCATGATCAGTTGGACCATCACAAGATCAATAGTGATGCGAGATGGGAAATTCAAATGACTATTCAATAAAGAATCAGAAGATTCTTCAATTCAATCATCTATGATGTTTGTTCTTTTTCATGAAAATTTTTCATTGACCATCACTAGCTAAAATAAGGATTAAATTTCCTTTCTGAAAATTGATTTGGGTGATAAATGTGGCCCCATCACCCTCCATGTTGATCATCTAAATATTATTTGTATCTAATAGATTTAATACATATACTAGATGATTACATGGTATTCGCAATTTGAAGTTTACGAAATTACTACTCAAATTTAAATTTGAGAGCTTAATTTTAGAGTATACAATCAAGACAATGTCCTGTTAATGCTAGTAATTCTAAATCTTAACATTTTAATAAGTGTTAGTTAGGATGTCGATAAATAGTTAACACTATTATTTATTAAACTCCTCCAATTAATTGAGAACAATGTACTTTCCATTTTTGTTTAGAGAATCCTATTACGCATCATACTGATATCATAGTTCTCCCTATTATAATTAATTTTACAGTCAGAGCCTACTTTTTTCATCTAATTATTTTGATAATGCGGTATATGTAAAATTGAACTACCACAATGCACTGAGATAGATAATAAAGAATGTTGAGAATAAATGCATAGTTTTAACCATTATCTCAAATGGGTGATATTTGATAATACAATTTACTGATTGTCAATTTGATTTAAAAATTCTCTCAGCATTAGGGGAGAGATTAAGAAGTTAAAAATAATGTATAAATGTATCATCATCTAAATTCTCGCAAAATATCATTCAAACAAGAATTTCGAAATATAATTTATTTAGAAACATATATTGACAAAAGATATCAACAATACTTCATACATCAAATTTAAATGCTCCAATATGAATTGATGTCCTAAGAGGATAATTTGATAACATTATATTTGATATATCTGTGGTATGCCTTAAGCGTGATAATATTCGATTCTAATAGAAAAATCTCCAAACGAAAATGGAGCGATTAGCCAAGATGGTCTCACTTAAGGAGGCTTATACTCTTGATGAGTATTTAGATATAACAAATTATAAAATTTCAGAAGAGGTTCAGGTACTTGGAATAATGAAATTTGAGATATCTCAATAAGTTATGTCATTATGGAAAAGTAAATAAAATTGAAAAAGAAAAGAAAAAAATGACAATTTTACACATGATGTACTGCATTATATAATGATGAATCAAAATAAATGTGTCGAAATATATCGATGAAGTAATGATTGGCCAAATTTTACTATAGAAACCTGAAGTTTTATGGATCTACAATCTGAACTCCAAAATGTGTATGTTTATGCTAAATGAAAATGAAAAAAGTAAAGCTGTAATATGAAATGTACGACTCTTTACATAATAAATATCATGAAAACTTATATAAATAAATAAGTTATCATGTGGTGGATGTAATCACACGCCTTTACCTTGTTAGAGTGATAGAACATGAAATTTGATATGCATATAATAAATGTGATTATAATCAACTTATCTTTAGATATAAATTTAATATTTTCATTGAAGGATTTAATATGCTTGTAGTAAATTCAAGTGATATTATCATGAAAGGGAGTAAATACGCGTTGTATTCTTTTTTTCTTGACCAAGATTTTGTCCCGTTGAATTTTCCTGGTAAGATTTTTAATGAGACAATTTTTATTGCGTATTCAAAAGAATAATGTACTCTTTTTCCTTCATTAGGATTTTTTCCAACATGTTTTCCTAATAAGATTTTAATGAGGCATATTCTTTGTGCAATGATGTCTTAGATTATACAAGCTATTTACCCTAAAAAAGTATACTATTATATAAAATTCTTGAAGAGATCAATAAACAAGAGATATTTTCGAATTATCATGTTACTATAGTTATCAAAGATTGATAAAATCAGGAGGAACAACTGTACTTTCTTTCCTTCGATTAGTTTTGTCGCACAGGATTTGCTTGATAAGATTTTAACGAAGCAGCATTTTATTACTCTAAATTATTTCGCCAAACAAGATTTCAATGAGATAGTTATTGTACAAATAATTATCAAATGAAGAGTGTTGTAAAATAATGAAATAATCATCAAGATTTTTCAATTTACTTCCCTAATCATGCCCAATTTTTGTAATATACTCTTAAACAATCCAAATATCCAAGTGATTGAAAACAATATCAAGTCATAAACGGTAACTAATTAAAAAGATAGCTATAATTAATTATTTAAATCTTATATTCTAAAAGAACAAGCACTAGGAAAACCCCTCAAGTTATGGATGTGGTTCGATTCTAATAAAAATCGACTCCAACGTAATCAAGAATCAATGGGGGTATAAGGTACCTTTTGCAATGCCTTACTATTAGGTGGGCCAATTATTTAATTGGGTCGACCTCATTATTAAAAAAAAAAAGGGGTTAAAACAGATTTTTAGTTTGAATTCTTGGCCCAGGGTCTAAAGACGAAACCTAAACTATTCAATTTTTGATCTCAAGAGTCAAAATTGGTTGAAACTTATTAAGGGATTGTTCGGTAGTGATTTTGATAATTGATTTTTTCGATCGTTGGAGGAAAAAGTCGGCCTTACCTGTAAGAGATGAAGTAAAAAATGATCGCTTAAATAGTGAAATAAAGGTAAAAAAATTGATTTTTTGAAGAGGCCCCTCCCTATTTAACTGACCGATTCAACGTGTTTCGTCTCAGCTTTGTAGCATTCAGTTTTCATATTATAAACCAACCATATTTACATTCTGGTTCTTGATTTTTTTTAATGAATGGACAAAATTAATACAATTTTCAAGGCATTGACCTTTTTGTCCAATCTGCAACGTCGCGTATGTTCGAGTGATCACTGGTCAATAATTTGTGATAGCGACTTTGACCTGCTAACCCTTTACCTCAATACAAATTTTCAAAGTCTATTAGCTTCACGTAACTCATTCCCAGAAAAAAGTTTTCCAGTTATAGAAAGCAAACACTAGGAGAAAGAATAAAAAATTGCCACGTCTCTAATCTGGTAAAATATATGTCAAAGAAGTACGAATTGTTAGATAAACGTTTGACTTTCATTGTACTATGATTTCACTTTTATATATCTTTTCGCAAGAACTCTAACTACTTACAGAAGTTTTTCTAGCCATGGACAGAGCTTTCTCCTTCTTCATGTTTGTTCATTGCCTAATGATCTTCTCAGTGAACTCGGAAAATAATATCAACACTGATCAATCTGCACTTCTTTCTCTGAAATCCCAAATTTCAGATCCCAAAAACATGTTGTCAAGTAACTGGTCTACGGTTACCTCTGTTTGCAGCTGGATAGGAGTTACTTGCGACTCACGCCGCCATAGAGTGATTGCACTTAATATTTCTGACATGGGTCTTACCGGCACCGTTCCTCCACAACTGGGAAACCTCTCGTTTCTTGTTTCACTTATCATGAGTAGGAATGTATTCTATGGCAATCTTCCCAAAGAGTTGGGCAATCTTCGCAACCTGCAGCAGTTAAGCATGGATCATAACCAGATTACTGGTAAATAAATGTTATAATCCATATTTTTCAAAATTAGTTCTGGAAAATAGAGGATTTATTTCTGTTTTTCTTTTCATTCAACTGGCAGGTGTGATTCCGGAAGAGATAGGTAACTTGAATAACTTGAAGAATCTGAGCATGGACAACAACCAAATTACAGGTCTTTTTACGGTGAATTTATTTAACAAATCATCTCTTGAATATCTGTCATTAAGGAACAACGAATTGAGCGGATACATACCAAGAGAGATTGGAAATTTTACAATGCTCAAGAAGCTATATCTTCAGAATAACACATTCACAGGTATGCATATAGTATGTTTCAGATGTGAACTGAACAGTAATAGAGGAATTAAAAAGAATAATAATTACTTTTGCCCTAGGATGATTGGACTTAGGTACAAATACGTATCTAAGTATCGAATATTTTATTTTTAAAATTTTAAGATATGTGGATATAACTAAAAAGAGTCCAAATTTTGGACACTTGTATATGGGTACGTCTTTCAAACTTTAATTTTTTATTAATTCAAGATGTTATTTTGAATAGGTCAAAATCAATTATTTACAAAGAAGGAAATCGGTATTGAATAAGGGGTTAAGACAAATAAAATAGAATTTTGTTACTTAGTTTTCAATTATGGAAATTACTAAATGACATATAAAATGGAAAATTAGGGACTTGATTGCAATTTTGACTTAACAGAGCACTATATGGAACATATTCTCATTTTATACAATTCATACTGAAAAGGCTATAGTTCGACCCAACCAACACCTAGAGGGGGGGTGAATAGGTGTCTATGCGGAATTTAACAATTTAATTAAGTTATGCAACAAGTCACATAAATTAAATGTTGTCCAGATTCATTCACATGATTTAACTACCTATGTTGAATTGCCGGTTGAATTGAAATTGACAGAAAGCAATAAATAACACAAAAGTTGTTGACGGAGAAAACCCAACTGGGTAAAATCTCCGGGCACAAGCCAGTAGGGATTCACTATAGAAGACTCCAACTTACAGTGCGCCAGACATGACTGTATTTAACAACACTCTGACCTCCTTACTGTATCAACCAAAGCTCTCCTGGATTCTGTAGATCTGCGCGAAAATTCCAGCCTTGTATTTCTTCTATTTCCCGTGAATCAACAAGAACTCCAGTTCTTCAATCAACCTCCTTCCTGGATCTTCAATCAACTGATCTTCTGGAAGTAGTGAGGATTTTTGATAGGTGTTTTGTTTGAAAAGGTGTTTGATATTTTTTTTTCTTCAATGAATCATATGGTGAAGAGTTTTGCAATTGATCCTTTGGTAGAGAGGAAAATATTGTGTTATGTGTTTTGCCAAAGGTTGTTAATGAAAAGCGGAATTTTTGTTTATATAGTAGGTCGTTTTTGGTAGTATGAAGCGTTTAAAATTCGCGAAGAAGGAAAATTACCAAACTTCGGATGACACTGTCGCTCGAGCGAAGTGCCGGCGAAACTCTAGCGACGCACTCTCGCTCGAGCGAAGTGGTGGCGAAACTCAAGCGACGCAGGTTCTGTTATTTAGGCTCGAGTGAGGTCAGGGCGAAACTCTAGCACCAATCTTGCGCCGTTTTCATCTTCAAAGCATCCAACTTTACCCTAGACCTATACATTAATTATTACGAAATTGCAACACAAGTCCCTGAACTTTTAGACATTGACAAATTGGTCCTTGACTTTACAAACTCGACAAATTAGTCCTTTTGGTCACAGATTGCCAATTACAACATTTTCCTAACAAACTCCCCCTTTGGCATTCTGTGACAAAATTACACAAGACAATCAAGAACACAAAAAAAAATGTAACTCCTAACGACCTATTCATTTAACCAAATCAACTATCTACTGTCGAACCCGTTTCCTGAAATATAGAAACTCAATACCAAGTGTAAAAGCACATGAAATGGAAACAGAGATAAAACAAGGAATAGTGCATATGTAATTAACCAGATTAAGAAGCAATAGTAATGTAAGTCAAAAAACACCAAAAACATACATCAATATTGCTAAAATATCAAAACTTAATCTAGTCATTAAATAGATATCAAACCATAGTTATACCACAGTTAATCCAATATATCACAGTTAAATTGAGATTAAACTACTCATCACTAGTCTCGTCACTCGAGCTCTCATCCAATCGATCACGAATCCAACGCAACTGATACTGACACACTGATAGAGCACGCCGAAATGAAGAAAGCTCAGCAGACTGATACTCCGAAGCAACACGTAACTGCGTGATCTCTGCCATCATACGAGCCTGCTGCGCGACTAAAGTAGACATCTGACCCATAAGCGTCACCATGGGGTCAACAGGCAAGGAAGCCACCCCTGGAGCAGAAGTAGATGTCGAAGGAAAGACAGCTCGAAGCGGAACAGCTGAAGGAAAATTCGAACGAGGCGGAAGAAAGACACGGGAACCCCTAGTAAGAATATCAGTAATAGGATCAAAGGGCTCCGAAAAATCAAAAAATATCAACGGGCTCAGCCTGAGTGGCAGCATGAGCCGAAGAGGACAAGACATGGGATCGACTCTGGTGAATGGTCTGCTGTCCTATCGGGCAACCTATACGAGTAGAAGACCCTCAGGGAAAGATGCACCAAGAGAAAGGACAGCCCGATGAATCAAACAGGCATAAGGTAACCCTAAACGACCCCCAGAGTACGAAAAGAAGCTAGAATCTGCTGGCACACAAAAGTAAGAAGGTCGATAGAGTCCCCATGAAGTAGGGCATATAGAAAACGAGCCCGTACCATCGGTAAAGAAGAAGTATGGGCAACAGGCCACAGGTTTGTGCACACGATGCGCAACAAAACCTGTCGATCAGTGGGTAATGAACCCGTGGCCATAGCCGTAGGCCCCCCAGTAGACGGGGTGTTCAAAAGAGTCAACCGAACAAGGGCATCGGCCGGAAGAGAAGCAGGGAGAAGATAGGGATACGTTGGATGAGGTATCTGAGGTATACCTAACGCAAGAGCTACTGCAGATGGAGTAACTCGAAAAGAAAAGAATGACCTCTAAGAAAACTCCTAAATGACGACCCATCCACCTCATGAATATTAGCATAAAACTCTTGAACGAGGAGTGGAGGCGACGGTGTAAGACCAACAAGAAGGGGCTCCCAACCCCGGGAAACAAAAATAGCGACGACGTCAACAGGAAGGTCAGATAGAATTACCTCACGCTCCATGAGAACGGGGCGTAAGGAGAACTAAGACGTGAGGACCTCCTGAGCTGCAGTAGAAATAAACCGGGATCTACTATAAGATGTCGATCCACTAGCGGGCTGTGCAGAGGTACGAGAGCGCTTACGAGCTATCTGGCACATGTGGAGATGAAAAGAATAGACATAATGTGAAATGCACGCATCACGATGCAACATGATATGAGAAGATGCACACACGGAAACACATATGATCCAATCACATAAACATGAATGAAAACACACACGGTTGCAACGACACTCAAACAAGTAGGAAAGAAATGAAGGAAAAGAAGGAAATAAAAAAAATCAAAAGAAACCAAATAAGCATAAAAAAGTGAACTTTCATCGAACACGTGGCGTGCGTGACTTCGGCACCAAATTCCAAGCACATACGAGAACCAATCACAAATCCAAACACATCCCTAAAAATTACATGCTATGGACTTCACAATCAAATAAACCACACATCAAACGAATCAACGAGGTGCAAGAACTACATTGATGAACATGGACCAAAAACTTAAATAAATGTGAAGAAAACCATAAGAATGCATTATAATTTGGGAAATGGAAAGCAATACTTGATGCAAAACATGTGTACAAGCAAGATGTAATACCAAAATAACACAAACCAACACAATGATCAGGAAAAAAAATCAAACAAACCAAAAAAAATTGAAAGCAAAGAAAGTTGGGTATTACCTAAAGATTTTGCCAAGAAGTCAGTGTTTCAGACCCAAGATTGTGTTAAAGATGTCGAATTGAGGCCAAAAATGAATTGGGAGTGAATAATTTCGATGGAAGAAGAAAAGAATTGAAGGAGGAGAAAAAAAATGATGAAATGCGCGAAAAATTGAAACAACCGCATTTTAAATATATATGTCGCTCGAGCGAGATCGGGGCGAAACTCGAGCGACATCCTTTCTGCTTTTGTCGCTCGACCGAAGTCCAGGCGAAACTCGAGCGAAAATGAAATGTCAAAAATAGCACCAAACATTTGAAATTTATGAAAAGTAGCACAATTTTGGAAAATAACGAAAATAGGTCCAAAAACTTTTATTTTTATTTTCAGTTGTATGTATTATTTTGTTTTTGTTTTTGTAAAGACAAACTAAAAAATCGATGATGAAGCACGTACCCAAATATGTACACGATACGAATAATATGCACAAAATCACAAACCCGACATTCAGAGCATGTAGACAAATCTTAAGTCCACACATAGTTCAAAATCCCATGAAGTAAATTTTATACAGAACATCAGCGTGAAATGTGCCACGTAGTCCACGCAAGTTAAACTCAAAACCTTAAATTAGTAAGAAAGGACACGTGAAAACAACTGTAAAAGAGTGTATATTGACCAAGTGCCAGTTAAACCAATTCCACGAGGACCTACATCAAACAGTATAATTGTCACAATTTTACTTCCCCTAATTGTATGCCATTATATATATATATATATATATATATATATAATAACATAAGAACTTAGGTGCAATCCTATCTTCATTAGGCGACAGAAATGACCTCTGTAATGAATTTTGGCCGGTGACTCTCAAGCCAGACGACCATAGGGCACCAGGTTAGAAACCCCTAAGGCTTAATTGTTCGAGTCAAATAGATCCCGAAGATAGAAATAAGTTCAAAGAATAATGTAGAAAATGGGGAAAGACAATATTGATTAGGTTACACTCGTCACAGATCAAATCAAATGAACAAACAACCCCAATCACAGAAGAATACCATCCCAAGTCTCACCCATGCGGTCAAGACCCACCTACAGGACTATAGTGTGTGCTGTGCGAAAATGCATGACAAGCCGTATACCTAGAACTCCACAGAAAGTGAGAACTACGATGGAACCTCAGACTCGTACACATGATGAAAAATAGAGTTTGATCCTGAATGCAAACATCATAACGTCATACATGATGCACACAAAAATTTTTATTTATTTATTTATTATTTTTATTTATTTTAAATTTCAAATGCAAACTTAATACTCAAAATAAAAACTAAAAAAAATAACTAAAAAACAAAATGCACACACACACATTTATCACGT